CTTCACTGGTGATGAAATACACCTCCCTAGAGACTGCCTGAACTGCTCCTATCTGAAAAAAATGCAGTACCCTTATGTGTACGTGTGTGTGAGAGAGAGATGGGAATTAATACCCCAGCCGCCTTGACAAAGCTCTCTACGAAACGGTTGAGAAGATGATGGCCAAGATCAAACAAGCACCCCTTGTCAAAGCCCTGGATCTCATCGAGGAGGGATCGAGTTTCCAAATTACTGCTCATCTTCTATGTATAGAAGCAAGAACATATACTCTCTGAGAAAGAACAAGGCAGAGGCTGATACATAGAAAGTGTGAATTCCGAGAGAGCACTGAACTGCAATAGTGGTGCGGAGTTCGTGGCGAGTCACATGCTTGGGTGAACGACGTGTCAACATTCAAATAATGAAAAACCGACCCTCTCAACGGGCGATTCTCCGGACTACTGGTAGTTCAACTCCGACGAGATATGAATATTAACAATCGGCCAGTCTACTCTCCTCCTCTCTGCTGTCGTTCCTTCAACCCGGTTTTAGAGAAAGGGACAGAATGGGGTAAACTTACCACCTTCTTCGTCAGTAAACGGTTGGAGTTGATTGAAGCTTACCGCCTTCTTACCGTATGCGCGTGCTCGGAATGAAAAATGGTCGGTTTGTGAACGCCACTTCTCCTCTGGAGAAAGGGGAATATGGTAAAAAAGAAAGGAAAAGGGTAAAATGGTTGACGGTGAGTTAACGCCAAGTGTTCGGGTATTAGATTGGCACTAGACTTAAAATATAGGGTATTTATGAGAATTTTCCCTAAAAAATAAATTAGAATTGGATGATTTTTTAAGTGCTTATTTAATAAGTATTTATTTATTTTTTGGGGAAACAAGACTGTTTTCAATGTTTTGCTCATTTTCTAGGGACTGGCCCATCTTTAAAAGAAGATAATTGTTCACTTCCTTCTCCAGTGAAGACTTGAATCAGCAGTGGTGATCAAGCACTCTTCCATAGAATAACTCTCACCACCTTCTCTCTCTCCCCTTCCTTCTTCTTCTTCCTTCCTCCACTGTCACAACGTATTCTTTCCTAAACCACCACCACCATCACCTTTTTTTCTTCTTTCTTTCTTTCTTTCCTTTATCTCTTCCTTACAACGTTACTACAGTGAATGTGGAAAGCAGGATCAGTTATAAGATAAGTATTTACTAATAATTAATTATTTTTTCTTTGTATTTATCCAATTTATGGCTATGTTAAGTTAGGGTTATAATTGTCATTTTTGCAAATATAAGTAGTTATAAATAAGTGCCTCACCAAATATTGCAACATAAATAAATATAGGTAGTTTGCGAAAAGACCTCCCAAAGATTAATAAGTACTTAAAAATAAGAGAAAAATGTAGATTAGTATTCCTATACAATGGGTCTAATCTCACTTTGGTCCCCAAACTTCAAAACGTGTTAATCTAGTATTTAAACTTCTAAAACATGTCAATTTAGTCCTTATTATTAACAGTTTGTCAGTTATCTCCGTCACATGATGACATGAAAGACTTAAAACTTTTGAAAATATCAAAATTACCTTTCAAAATAAGACACTGTACATCATCTTCTTCCTCATGAATCAAGATTGAACCAAAGGTATGCAGTGATTTTGCTGTATTAAATCTATGAATCTCGTTTACCGAAAAAAAAAAAGAAAAAAAACTACAAATGTCATGTTTTTTGGCTTTGGTCTCATTTCTGACTCTGAACTTTGTAGCTTTCATTTCTGACTCTCCCACCAATGGAGGAAACCCCAATAATGGAAAAAGAAACACAGACACTTCTGTCTCTCACTCTCTCTAAAATCCTGCAACCTCTTCCCCTTCACCATTTTCCTATAAAAGAAATAGCAAGGGAAGAGTTGGGGGGATTTGAAGGGATTTTTCTTTTTCGAAGGGATAATATACAAAGATTTGATATTTGGATCATAGCTGTCTCTAATGGCTAGCAGAAAACCAGTTTGAGATTTCTTTCTTCCAAGCAACTCCTTTTCTTACAGCTGTAAACCACAACAGGTTTGTTTCAGAGCCCAAATTTCAGTATAATTTCCTTCCCCTCCCTTTTTCTGGTGTTTTGGTTATGTATTTATCTTTTCTTTCTTCCAAAGTTATAGAATTATAATTTTATATTAATTAATAATACATTAACCTGTTGTGGATCTTCTAACATATATCGTAATATAGATGTTGCCTTTGTGAACACCTTAATATTTGATATTATTTATATTTGTAAATGTCATATTACAAGGTTTTATGGATGGCATCAAAGCTACAACCATATGATATGTTTAATTGAAAAAAGTTATTTTTTATTAATATTTTCTGTTTCAGAAATTACAAGAAACTGCATCCATGAAGTAGGTTTTAGGTAATGAAAGGAAGAATATAGTTTGTTCTAAATGCAAAGGAAAATAGTGAACAAAATTCATATTGTTTTTGCTGTTGAAGCATTGTAGGGTCGGGTTAGGGTTGAGGCAAACCCGTGACAAACCCGACCATTGACATCCCTATATAAGGTCTTCAATTTGGGCAATGCATTCAACTCTCCCAATCTAGTTTTAGATCTATGTCCTCTTCCACTTATTCCTTCTATCCCCCAATCACTAAAACTATCACGCATGTATAAGTATAATTCTTCTAGTTCGGACCAACTAGCATATTTGTTGGCAACCTTTCTATATATGTATTTGCATCCACTTAAGTTGAGTATTACAAATTAAGTTCTTTCAAATAAGCTTAGATATGTTTTCTAAGAGTCGGGATCCGTTTTTCACAGTGCACGCCTCACACCGACCTTACAGCATGTTCTGGTCGCACATCAGGAACATCTCTCATTCTTAAATTTATTATTCATGGGAAGATGTTCTCAATGCAGGGTGGGGTGTGGCTGTGAGGTCGGTGTGAGGAGCAAATCCCAATTAATTTTCTAAGCAGGCGCATTCTTCTAGATTTAAATTAATGTCCAAATATTTGTCAAGCGATGTGAAGCAGGTAATTAAAACTCACATTCAAAGTTCTAACTGCTTTCGTCCCTTCAAAGAAAGTGTCTGGAATCTCTATGGAAAATGGACTCCATCGTTGGAATGGGAGCTGAATTAGATGCATTAATTATATGACTTCTTTGGTAGGAGATCATCACTGGATTTCATCTTCTCCACGGCTTCCTTGCATAACTTAAAAATAAACTGCCAAGAAGAAGGTGTATTGTTGCCTTCTCAAAGCAACTTATTCCAATTTTCAATGGTTCTGTCCATATCGATTAGAGAAGAGTTTTTGCTTCATCTTCAACGTATTCTCAGCTTCCTTAACTGCTTTTTGAATGTCCCTTCTCTCATCTTTTAGTTCCTTCTTCTAATTAAAAAAAAAAAAGTGTATCCTTCCCCAATCTTCTATAATGCTCTTTAAAATATCCTTGGCCATCCCCGATCCAAATACAGCTACAGAGAATTTAAAACATTTAGCTTTTTAAAAAGAAGCAACATATACTAAAACCAAAGAAAATGAGAATAGGGCTTATTTGCCACCTCTTTTTGCCTTCAACTATGTAAGGGACTCATACACCAGCTCTTTCACCAGGTGGTTAACATCGAGGATAGCTTTTCGGTACAGAACTTTTCTTGGAATGAAAACCCAAATCCCTTAGGCTAATTCTTTTAACAACATCAGACTTGAGAAACTCAGAAGTGAGATGCAAACCAAGATTTGGCACTCAAAATATTATAAGCAAATTTTTTGTCAATAACATGGGCAGCACTATTGCATGTATATGGTATAAAGGACACAAAAGAAGACTGAAGACTGAAACCATGCAAATGGTCCTTGCAATTGGCTATAATAGGGCATGACTGTCAGGGAATGTTGGATTTTAATATCATAAGAGATTAAATCCATTGGGTTCGATTGATCAATTACATGACAAATTACACCTGCACACTTGATTAAAAAATTAGTTTTTCTCTTGTAAAACCCAGTTTTGAACTTGTCCCACATTGGAAAATTATAAGCTTTGTTTTCAGTATTTTAATAGGAGTTGCTTTACACTCCTTAGAATTAGTAGAGGAGAGTATGGGGGTTTGATACTGCGCACAATGAGACACTTTAGAGACGCACTTTGGTTTTGGTGCGATGCTGACCGTTGATCACTGTTGATGAGATCAATGGTCACGATTCGATCGGGGTGATCAAGAGGCACAATTCAAAGTTAACAGTCATTAACTATTAACTACTTTAACAATCACAATGTTTGAAATTGTGACCGTTCAATGTGCCTTCTCTGAACCAGCACCTATATTTTCTTCATACCTCTTCATAAATCATTTAAGCAGCATGAATCAGACTCCAAAAAACACACATTTTCGAAATTCACTCACTCTCTCTCTCTCTCTCTGTCTGGTCTGCTATAGTCTCACAGAAGGTTTCTCCGGAAATTCTTCAACTTTGCTGGTTGTAGTTTCTCGCCCAAGGCTCTGTTGTATCCTGGGAACAGATTTGCCTGTAATCCAACAGCAAACTCAGTGAAACTGAGTAGGGACAAATAATGTTCTAAAGATAGTGTCTTCAGAAGCGCCTCAGAACTTTTCCTCCAAAGTTACAGTGACCCCATTTTACCAACAAGAAACGCCAAGATGAGTGTACAACGGTCAACAGGTAATTGGCTATCTTCTGTGCATCTCCTTCAAAGATGTTGGATCTTTAACCATTTAAAGACCTACTTCGAAAGCACAAGCCTCAAAAAGTTTTTGGGCCAGCCAATAGAGTACAAATAGCTTTCTCAAATAAGAATTCACCACTATTATCCCTTATGATAATGGCATGTTTGGAACCGTTTACTTTTATTGAAAAAATGGCGCCACTTCAATGTCATATCAGCATCTGGAGGGATAAACGTTTTTTGGTTTGGTACGTGCTTTTATTAAAAAAATACAAATAAATATTTATGCATTTATTTGCATTGATTTTTGTGCATATAGCCGTTTGGGTAAGCGAGAAATTCTCGCTCCCTCCGATGCCTGGGCATTTCATGAAACGACGAGCTGAAGTGGATCCGGTGTGGCTGCTGACGTGTCGTCTAGAGGTGGTGATCCGATGCAACCTGGATCTACCATTCTAAAGGTAGATATCTTCTTCCTCACTCGATGACCTAAAATGCTAAAGCACTAGAAAGAGAAATATTTCGCCGCCTTAGAGGAGAACATCTGGATCTACCAGTCCAGCGATGATCGGAGAGAGGATTCTTCGCCGGAGGGAGAGCAGCTGCCGCTAGTAAGAAGGTCTTCGTTTTCTCCCTATTTTCTCTTTGTTTTCTCTTTTCTCCTAACTTTCGGCAATATCTCTGTTTTCATTGAAGGTTTTAGAGAGTTTTGCCGCATCTGAAGGTTTTAGAGAGAGAGAGGGAGAGAGTGTTTCTCGCCGCCTGTATGTTCTCTGAGTGTTGTCGCATCTATTTTCATCAGTTTTGACATGTATTTTTTTGTATCATTTCTTTAATCATCTGTATACAAGTTTTGTGCCCTGTTTTCCTAATATGCATATCTTTGTTTACAAGGATGTTGACATGTATTTTTCTAAATTTACATGTTTAAGTTGTAGATTTTAGATGGTTATTTCTGACATGTTGAGTATTTGTGAAAGATATCCATGGGATTCCCACTGGTTTTATCAATTACACTTGAATGACATTAATAGCCTTCATTCCCTTATACGTAACAAAGATAGATGGAGAAAGAGTCAAAGTGAAAGTGTCGTATATTCACCCTTGGATGTGGATTATATCATATATACCGTTGGATTATATCATATATACCGTTGGATTATATCATATATACCGTTGGATCTAAAAATCAGTCTTTCAAGTGGAAACATATGTAATTTGGACCGTTGGATTGACTAATGTATCCTATATATCACAATGAAAGTGTCACACTGAAACACTTGAAACACTCCACCAAACAGCATGAAATGGAAAGACGTTTATTGTTACTCAAGTGTAAAGGAACATTTCTTGAAACGCTTAGATTAAATTTAACGAAACAACAAAGTGAAAAACGTTTAAAGTGAACCTTTATCTATAAACATCCACCCAAAAACATAAACGAAACCAAACACATACAATATCCGGTCAAGATTGAGAGGATCCTTGTACACCATCCACATTTACCTTAATGAATGCGGTGTGTAGAAGTGCCCAATGCATAGTAAAGGTGGGGTTTGTAAATGGATCGCATGAAGCATTAATTGATCTTTGTTTAAGATTATCCAGGTCCTCATCTTGAGCATGAGCCAATTGAAAGCACTAAACAAGGATAGAAGTTGGAATTTACATAGTTGTCTTGCAGCTAGCCTTCCAACAATGAAGCATTAATTAATCTTTGTTTAAGATTATTCAGGTCCTCAATTCATCACTTGGAGTCTCCTTGACTTTGTGCCACCAGAAGGAAAATCCAATCTTCTAAACACCACCCAGAGTGTTCTTCAATTTAGAGAGCTAGACATGATGTAAACTAGATAGGAAAATTGGCTTGACAATGAAGAAACAGAGACATGTATTCAACTAAGTCATGGCAAAGTGCAAAGTGGGCAAAATTATCCATCTTTTTGGTATAATTAGTTACGTAACCCTTGAAAAGGAAAAATATGGCAAAGAATTCTCCAAATAGAAATAACATGAATTAGAATGTGTAAGTTCTCAAAAACTCTAAAAGTTTTTCCATGATATATTTGGAAGGGCATTTTAACTACTTGAAGATTCAGCTTATGCATTAATTAATAACTTAGGAGACGTTTGGATAGTCTGAAGATCTTATAAAATCTCAAGATCATAAAAGACTGACGAGCTTTGACAAGTAGATCTTCGAAGACCAAAGACCATTAGTCGCAATTTTTTAATGATCTTTTCAAAAGCTAAAAAGATCGAAAGACCGTTTGGCAAAAATACTTGTCGATCCCTCTTACATACATGTTAAATGTTATGGAAAAGTACGGACAGGACTAATGTAGATTTCTGAATCCCACTGCAAATCTATAAATATTCAAAATGTCAAAAACCCACATGCACCCATACCCGCCTGTGAATTGGCATCAATTCCAAGTTGGCACCTATCCCAAATGTACTTTGAGCTTACAAATTCTGACCCTGGGCTGAACCATCATTCTCTCTAAATGTTATGTGCGAGACCCAATAACACATTCAAACATGTAAATATTACTTGTGAGCCCCATTTACACATTTACCTATACAAAATATTAAAATTGACATAACTCCACTTACACATTGACATGTGATGGGGAGAACAAAATTGGCATAGCTCCACTTACATATATACTGATTTATAACAAATAAAGAAACAGTGAAGTGCTTTAAGACAAATAAAAAGCATACGTTGTATACAAGGTGGACATCTTTATACACACTTGTACACAGGAGGTTTAAGACTTAACTTTTAAGGGTGTCCATGCTTGTATTATGTTGCTCCTCAGCGTTTTCCCTATGCCTCAACAGAAGGCACACCTCCAGGCATACACTTTCCGTACCTCTTAAATCACTCAACCTTTCAAGAGGGGTGCTTGATCCTTACCAATCAAAAAGAAAATATTGGATCTGAACCGAACCATCTTTTGTATGTATTTATTCTGATCCTAGTAGGAAGGACCTTCACTTGAGCTTTTTATGGCATCAGCATCAGTTACAGGGCCGCTGTAAGCCCAGAAAACGCTGTTTTTTATCAGCAACTAAAAGCCTAGAAAATGTTGTCTGCAAAAGTACACCCTCAAGCACATCTGTCCCAATAATGGCTAAATGAGCTTCCACCAAATTGGAGCCTAATGAGACTGACAAGGCAAGAACAGCAGGAGGGGGGCGTGATCTTGGGTGGGGATCATCCAGATATGATTGAATCATTTCTACTAGGTTCCTACTCAAAGCAGTATAGAAAACCTTTAAATTTCAGTTTTACCAACACCCAAGAGCTGAGAATGCCAAGAAGCTTACCTCCAATGGCTCAAAAGATGTTGCTCTGTTGTTTCAAAATCATCCTGTTTCTCTCCTCCACCACACCCCATATAATGACATGTGTGATGGCATTATAGTCGACCTTGCTTTAGTCCCTATGTCTGATTCTACATTACATTAACATACAAATGAAGTTGCTACCTCCAACTCACCTAACACACTCATTTTCAATTTTATCCTCTAGTTCCTTCTGAATATGCTTAAATGATGGTTTTCATGGTTTGAACAATCTAACCACCCAGTTAACTGGTAAAACTGTGACCCAGTGAGCATTCCTGTCTTCCATCCAGTCCGAGTCTGACAATATTGTTGCCACTAATGCAGGAAAACCCACAAGAAGAAAATTTCACTACTGCAGTTCTTTCATATAATAGTTTATTATTATTGAAAAAGTACTAACTCGTACCAAGGTATCATAAGCATTAATAGTAGGATTTAACAAAAGTAGAAAGAAGACTTGTGAAAAGGAGCTGGATGGGTGAAGGAAACAATATGGATAGAGTCTCACTGCCCCAAACAGCTAAATCTAGCCCCTGATCTAGAGTCTCAGCAATTACCATCCATAGGAAATGGACACACAGAGGTGGAGGAACCATTCTCAGATCTTACATCAACTTGTTTAGGCTACTTTATTTCAACTTCACATGTAGTTGAATCCTCAAAATAAAAGGATTAGCAAGAAAAGTAGTCTCATATAAAAAATAATAACAATAGACACAGAGGTGGAGATGGGACCTCATGGATAATGAACAAGGCATGCATCAGGTCGTATATTTATTTCTTTTGGGTACTTGGTGGCTGGGGTATAATTCATGGTGAGTTCTTAGTTTTCTTTCTTTCTCTTTTTCCCACTATGAGATTTCTGCTACTTGTTTATAATTGAGATTTCTGCTATTATTTGAATTAAGTTTGTGAATTTTTAATAAAAGTCCCACTCTTCTTTCTTGTTGCAAGAACTATGCTATGGCTGAACTTGTTTCCAACATAGCCACTTCTAAAATAGAATGAAAGATTTGAATGGTTGAGTTATCTTTGATCATTAAAGTGGACCCTCAACTACTCTGCATTTGTATTCCTTAAATTATCTGATATATACACCAATTCTCGTAGTAGACATTCTACTGACAAAATTTTATGGTGATTCTAATTAGGAGTGCACCATTTGGCCATTATTCTGGCTGTAGTTTCTTTTGTTCTGGCGGTTGTGATGGTTGTTGCAACAGTTATTTTCTTTGGGAAGAGGAAACTTGCAAGGAGGAGAGGTATCATTTGCTTCATATTTTAAAGGTTCCTTTTCTTTTGTTATAGTTTGGAATCCAAATTATATTGATCTTTCATCTGTTTCAGAGAGGAAGCCACACGGTACTCTGGTGACCGTTGTAAATAAATCTGAGCTTAACATCAAATATGAGATTCTTGAAAAGGCCACAAACTATTTTAGCAATTCCAACAAACTGGGTCAAGGAGGATCTGGTTCAGTGTACAAAGTAATTCTGAATTATCCAATTTTCTTCACAGGGAATGGTTTTGAACACGCTTTTGACTTGAAGGTATTATCAAACAGGGTATTTTTCCAGATGGGAAAGTTGTTGCTGTAAAGAGCCTTTTCTTTAACACAAGACAGTAGATGGATCAGTTCTTTAATAAAGTAAATTACACTGTACATCACAAAAATCTTGTAAAGCTGTTAGGCTGCAGTATCACAGGTCCAAAGAGTCTTGCTGTTTATGAATTTCCTAACCAAAGCCTTGCTCAATACTTTTTTGGTATTATTCTCCCAACAAATATGTTTTTTAAGTCAATTATAACTTTATCCACCTTTTTTATTATCAGTAACAGATGATAGCTTATTGATAAAAAATCATGTACGAGATACATTATATAATTACAACAAGACCAAAAGTGAATTAAAAACAACAGACCCTCTCTGAACACCCCCCAAGCACATCTGTCAGCAAAAACAACAGATCATTTATTAATATAGTAATATAGTAATTCAGCAAAAACAACAGACCGTTTTTCTCAGAGTTGATTCTTTCCAAGGATCTTTAATTCTTTAAGTCTCACGCTCAGAAGCTCTTTAAATTGATATTCATACGTCTTCAGTGTAAACACAAAAAAGTGATTTTATTTGCTATCTATCTTCCTGCAATTGCTAATCTGATAACTTGTCTCCCTATTTCCTTATTTTCTAGCATGATAAGCAAACAAGGACATGGTTGACTAAGAAATTTTCTCTGTGTAAATAGCAAGAATATGGCAAGAGAAAGCATAGGAAAATTTCAGATAGTCAATAACAAATACCTGGAGCAGAACACAAAAACCTATGGGCATGTCACAAAAATCTAGCTACGGTGTTCCCACCATTCATACTCAATTGTCCGAACCTAACATTGCTTGACTTGTCAACGAACCACTTGAGCGGTCCAATACCACAAACCTTGGCAACCAGTTTACAGAAGCTGGATACCTCAATTTCCATTGTCTCAATACGAATCTACTTTCAGGTCCTATCCCTCCAGAGATTGGGAACTTGAAAGAATTGCAGAGGCTGAAGCTCTCGAGTAACATGCTTATCAGACCTATACCTTGGACATTGGGGAACCTAACAAATCTTTAGTGATTATACCTTGACCGAAACAATTTAACCGACACAATCCCACGGGAGATCGGAAACCTGAAATGAGAGATGTCGGTTGAACATGGTGAAGAACGACAATCAATGATGAAAAAGGAGAAGAGAAGTGAACAGTGTGTCACGATTAGTAATTGTGTCAATGCTTCTCAATTGCTGGGGGTAGAGAGTTTCTCTGAGTCGAATTTTTGTCAAAAGTATCGAAAAGCTGAGAAACCCGAATAGACTATAAGCTTGGCTTGGAGATTCTGAGATCCAGACCATTTTGGTCTTTTAGGGTCTTTCTTGGGATTCTGTCTTTTGGTCTAACGGGCTTTCAGTAGCCAAACAGAACAAGGACCACTTTTGGTCTACCGGGCTTATAAAAGCCCAGAAGATCTTTCAAAAAGACTTGCCAAACAGGGCCTTACTCTACAAGTCAAAGTATCCTTACCTCCTTCAAGAGTTCGAGAGGTATGAAATGTATGTAGAAAAGAAAAAAGAAAGAAGAAAGAAAGAGCTTCAGTTTTGAACACTGAAGATAGCACATAGATAATAATGAGATCCCATGCTTAAAAAGGGCATAGAAAACAAACAGGAAGCTGCATATGGTTATAACAATCATGGCTTTTCTTCACTGAGCTCTGGACACACTATCACTAATAAAAGGATAAAACAACTAAATAGAGAGCTGCTCATCCATGATATACAAATTAGAACATTGTCAATCAAAATTTCTCAGCTTTGTAAGGTCAAAGGAAACATAGACGATAATGAGTATAACCAATAGCAGACTCCTCAAATAAAAACTTCAGTTAAAAAGAAGTGGGTAGCATAAATATTTGCATGTTAAGCATCTATGACATTTAGAAGACAATGAATGTAGGAAAACAAATCAAAGAAAACTCAACTGTTGGTACCAATTTCTGTCCTGAATCAGTTCAACTTTTTATTCCATGACCACTTTAGCACCAACAGCCTTCATCTTCTCAATTATTTGTTCCCCTTCTTCCTTTGAAACCCCCTTTTTTATCACAGAAGGCGTCTTCTCCACCAAGTCCTTTGCTTCCTTGAGGCCTAAATCAGTAAAACTCCTGACCTCCTTAATAATCTTGATCTTCGAAGCTGCATCATAAGACTCTAGTTTCAGTTCAAACACGGTTTTCTCCAATTTCTTCTCCTCCTTGGCGGCTGATGGTGCCTTCATCGTCATTCCAGCCAATCCAGCAGCAGCACCCGGTTTCATGACACCAACAACTGGTGCTTCCTTCATACCTAATTTTTTCATCAAAATTGATGACAGCTCGGCAACTTCAACTAATGTGAGTCCCGATACTTCATCTACAAGCCTAAAAACCCTATCAGTTGGTGGGCTCCGATGCTCAGTAGGATCAAAATTCGTTGGGTCGTAATTTGCAGGGAGCCTCCGCTGATCAATCATTTCTAGTTCTTCTTCCTCCTCATTCTTTGCAGGAGCACCAAATCTTCGAGAGATACACTCCAAGTTCACAGCTTTCAATGTGATTGATGCACGAACAATGGGTTGTCCATAGAACACATGCGAGAAACGGCACCCATATTTTGAAATCAAGCTCATATTGAAGTTCTTGGGATTTTAACTCTGATATCACCTTCTCAAGTACAATAGACACATTCTTTGACCTCTTACAGAAGAAAGTCCATCACTGTTGTAGAGAGAAAAAAGAAACCAATCATTACGAACATGGATAGATAATCTTATTGTAGATTTCTTTTAATTTATCAAAAGAGATTTGCAGTCATGTAGTTACTGGATTGAGAGAGAGAGAGAGAGAGAGAGTGTGTGTGTGTGTGTGTGTGTGTTATGATGAAAATTTTGCTTTACTTCCCATTTACATCAAAAGAAATTAGAAAGGGTGCAAATATTTAGTGCAAAAAGTTTTAAACCATTTTAACAAATGCAATCTATATTACCCTACTCCAATATGTAAATATTTCTGGTTTTTTTGGGTTTTCAACTAGATGTTTACTGGATTAGAGTAACTTAGGTTTAAGGTTAACAACTAAAACATAGAATTTTGGACATGAAGTGTGATGACATGGTGGGGGGATTCTTTGGCAAATGGGGTTGTTACAAATAAGAGGCATAACAAAAAAGAGAAGAAAAAAGTAGTGTTAACAATGCCATGGATGTTCCTCTGAAAGACAATGATGTAGGGAGACCCAAACTGGAAAATACCCTCAAGAAAGTTAAAGATTTGTTCGTTTGACTTATCTACTAAGCCCTTGGAGGGTTGGACAATAATCATTTGCTTTCAACTAGTCTAAGTAATGAGAATAAGAAAAGGAGACACCAAATGTTCTGGACAAAATTATAAATTCTATAGAGTGTCTATAGGGTGGAACTTCCACCTTTTGTAATACTTGATGTTGAGATTAATAAAATCTTTCCCTTGCTGATAAAAAAAAACAGTTTAAGTAATGAGAATAAGAAAAGGAGAAAGAAAAATAAATCAAGTTTAACTGATGGGGTAAATTCCACAGTCCCGTCATCTGTGGAAAATGTCAAGCAGGATATTTCTAAGAAAACATTTGAAGGAAACCAAAAAGACATTAGCAAAGAATCCGATGCAATAATCCTTCATGAACAAACTAGTGCATCACCAACAAATCTTAGTGCTATCATTGAGAAGCAAAAGCCATAAGAACAATACACCAGAACAAGCCAACACAAAACGGAATCTTTTGTATCAATTTTCATTATTTACTATTTATTATCTTTTTGTTTTTTATTTTTTATTTTTTTATGTTTGTTTTAATTTTTTATTTTATCCTTTTTTGTTTTTAACAATTATTTATTTATTTGTTTTTATTTTTCTTATGAAACCCTATTTGTAAACCTATTATTTTTATGGAATTATTGTTATTATTGTTTTATTTGTCTATTTTTTTGAATCTTTTTGTATTTTTTATTTTCTTATTTTTCTTTCTTTTTTATTTCATTTTTATTACCAAATTTCTTTTAATAGCTTATTCTCCCCACAAATAAATTCTAATCTATCAAGCTAAGCATCTCGTTCCATTGATCCAAACTCACCATTACAGATTGTCAGATTCTTAACCTCCTATTTTATTCCTTCGTTTTTTGTCATTTTTATTATCATATTTATTTATTATTATAATTTTTTAGGCTTGTTTTGCTTTCTAATTCTACCGCGGTGTTTGCTATTAACAGTCTTTCTCCGACCCCGGTATCGTTGATGCCCAATAATCAAAACAACTTGGTGTCTTTCGTTTCAAGAGGCAGAACCCAGCCACGCACTCAGTAAAATAAGACAGGTAATATATTAACGCACTCAATCGTAAACTCAACAATTTTCCATTCCAGCAAGCATAGCTAACTGTGAGAAGAAGGAAAAAAAAAAAAAAAAACAGCGATGATGAACTAAACAAGCGGTGATCATCTTTTAGAACATATCACTAACAGAACTTTACAAAATATTAACAGACAATCTCATTTAAAAAATGGATCAATGCGTTGATCATAAACAGAACATTACAATGACTCAGAATACCAAGAGAAGACTACGGCGGGACTGGATTAACATTGAGGATTCGACAGAGACTGGTTCGGCGGAGCTTCATCACCAACTCTGTCACCTTCTCCCATTAGATTTTGATCGTTTCTTGGCAAAATATAGGGGAAAGAAAACAAGGAAAAACACGAAAAAAGAACTAAATACAGGGGAAGAGAAGACAGAGTTTATCTGGTTGGATTTTGGCCTGAAACCGACCGCTGCAACAGGAGACACGGGCTTCTTCGTTTCCGACTATCTTGTTGAACGAAAATGGTGATGTCGACTTGCAATAAAAGAACTGGGCAGGGCGATATTCCGGGTATGCAGCTCGGGCAATGGCTACCGTCGATGGTTCTGCTCAGCCGGCGAACGAAACAATGGCTTAATGACGGGTTGGGGAAGCCCAAGTGTTGAATCAATCGTTCTGCCGCCGCTGTGTTCGTCGGAAGGAAGAAGACGAACAGTGTTTCTTCGGGATTTCGGTCGATTCGATGATGGAAGAAGAAGAAGAAGAAGAAACGGAGAGGGGGGGGAAGGGGATCGGCTGTCGCTGGTGCCGGATTCTCTCGAATAAGGTGAACAGTGCCGAATTCTAATCCCCCAAAATTTAGGTTAAGCTGGATATTATAATTGGGAGTAAGGGTATTTTGGTAATATTCGGAAATTTTAGGGCAATTTCGTTATTTTAGAAAGTTTGGTTTAGGGCTGTTCATGACAAGACCCAAACCGACCAACCCAGTCCGATCCAACCCGAGTTGGTCGGTTTTTCTTCAATATCGATCGGTTTGGGTTACAAAAAAATATAAACCGACTTAGATATATATTATATATAATATATTTTAGTTTTAATATATATTTGTGGAAATATATATATTTCAGAAATATACATATTATATATAAATTTTTTTATATATTAAATATTAGTTTTAATCCATCAAATCATTTTTAATTTCCAGGCATCCAGCCTTTGCTTTCTTAGACTTGAATCCTTTACCGTTCACACCGAGAGAATCATTCACAAAACCGACCCAAACCGATTCAAATCGACTAGGTCGATTTTACTTAGTATTGGGTCGATTTCGGTTTCATTTCTAGGTAAACCGACCAGGTCGGGTCGGTTGGAAAAACGCCAATAAACCGACCCAACCCGACTTGTGAGCAACCCTAGTTTGGTTAATCCGAGTGTAAGGGTGATCAAACCTGGTTAAATCGGTCAATGACTTATTAACCTGGGCAATCAAACCGTTGACTCATTCAATGGTTTTAGTCATTTTTTATTTTAATTATTTTTATTGTTAGAATAGGCCATTCATTCGAACCATCAACCTAAAAATCGATGGCCAAAACAACTCTGTTTCCAGGTCGATTTTTAAAACCATGGTTTTGCGTGTAGGGATAATAAGATTGGTCGGAATACAATCTTTTTATTTGGATAGGTAAACAATGGTATTTTTTTGTTGAAATTTGACGGGGTAAGGTTTCTGTGCATTCTAGTTTAATTGATAGATTGGATTGGCCCAACTAGACCCAGATTAGGTAGATCTGTGAGGGTACTAATTTGGTCAATTTATGGCTTCCAAATGGAATATAAGTGCAATGAAGGGGCAAACAAATGTATTTTTGGTTGGAATTTCATAGTGTAGGGTTTTTTAGCACTATGAGTTGAATGGTGAGATCAGATTGGTCTAACTAGGACTGGATCGGCCGGATTTGGAACGGTAGTGGTTCAATCAATTCGGACTTTGAAATTAGAATCTAGGTGCCATGGAAGGGCAAACAAAGGTATTTTGAGATGAAATTTTACATATGGGTATTTTAGAGTATCTGGGACCTATTGGTAATGTCTCATTGGTTCATGGGGATTAAGATTAGAAGAAATTGGGTAAACGAGAAGATTTAAAACAAAATCTTGATTTAACGAAAGGGTAAATGGGGGAATTTTGGGTCAAAACTTTATGGGCAGGTGTTTTGGTGTGTCTAGGGATCAACCATATGATCTAATTGGCTCATATGTGTTTGGATCAAGGGGATCTAGGTTATGGGTGGTGCCTAATTTGAAGGTCAAAGTGTAAATGGGGGTTGATCAGAGTCATCGGATTGGTATTAAGCAAATTTAACGGTGAATTTAAGGGCTCTCAGTGCAAAATTAGGGTTCTTCGGGGGGGGGGGGGCGTTTTAGAAAGATTGGAAGAGTTTGATTGAGTGTTTAGAGTAAATTGGAGGTGGATCGAGCAAAAATCAAGTGTTACCACATGTTAGATGCAAATTGCCAAGTGTTTTAAAAGCGTAAGCGCAAAGGTCAATTTGCACCCGAGGTGCAAAGTACAAGGCAAGGTGTGCACCTTTTTTAATCAAAGCGCAAATAAACAAAAAATGCTAAAAATAAAAAAAATGTTAGAAAATTAAAAAAAAAAAGACAAAAAATCAAAAGAAATGCTAAAAAAATCAAAAAAAATATTAAACATAATATTAATAAAAAATATAAACTTAAATTTTAAAATAAATATTTTAAAAACCTATTATCTAAAATTAAAATACATAACCATAACATGTAAAGCATATTCAAATGAGAATTTAAAAATAAAATCAAACATATAAAACATTTTCAAGCATGTAAAAGTAAAACTCACAATCACTTTTTTTTCCTCAATTGCATTATTTCAAATAGCTAATGTGATGTAAAACATATTACATTCATAATTCTACGAGCCACCTTTGTGTCACACCCCTCGAGGTAAGCTCAAACAAGTCCATGTTAGGGTTATAAATTCTTAGTTCTCACACAAAAAAAAATAATGATTTTATAATTTTAATTGTTTTTAAACGATATTTTATTTGGATGAATGAATGAACAACATTGGCAAATAAGGGGTTCTTGGAAGCTCCAATAACTAAGAAATTAAAACCCTAACATGGACTTGTTTGGGCTTGCCTTGAGGGGTGTGGCATGGAGGGTCGGGGGGCGAAGCCCCTGGCCTAGCCGCTAGGTTCAAGAAAAGTAAAAAAGCACCAATTTTTCAAAAGGAGCATGCCTCGGCTAAGGCATAAGGTGTATCAGGTGCACGCCTAGGCATACTAGGCATGTGCTTAGGACCTAGGCGAGGTGCATACCCTAAAATGTGCCTCACCTATGTGCCTTTTAAATCACATAAATTACCTTAGGCTATGTTTGGTTTGAAGGACAATGTAGGGAAACGCATAGCCTTAATGATCCTATAGTTGGTGAAAAAGATAACTTCACAAAGGATTAAGTGAGTGAGAATGTTGTTTCGATGATGATAATTTTGAAACCAATACGCCAGGTAAAACTGAGGTGGAGAATTAATTCTTAAGGAAATGAGTATGAAAGACATGTTTGTGTTGTCTAAGTTGTTCAACACTTCTATTATCTCAGAGATTGGTAATCTTGGTGATAAAAGAAGAAAGAAGTTAAACAAAGTGAAGGATTCTAATGCGAAGAGCCATGCCTTATCTTCAGGTGTAAAAAATGCTAGAAATGATGAAGATGTTATTCCTATAAGGAGTTGAACCTCATAAAGCCTTAACCAGTAATTGCCTTGGTGATGATAGTGACAGAGAGCATTGCATCATTTCTCGAAGTGCAAAACTATCTAAGGCAAAGACATTAGATGCTTCATAGTTGCAAAATGACCAAGAAGTTATTAAGGTGATCGGAGATGATGTCTCTTTACCTCTAATTAAACCAACAAAATCCAAGAGATTGCTGATGATTATGATGATAAGGTAAGAACGAAGAAATTCTACAACCTACTTGTCAAAACTTCTAAACATTTTGGGATATCTTCACCAATGGTCCAATATGGTTGATTTGCTTTTCATGGTTTTTAACTTTTTATAATGTTGAAGTCACAAAAAAAAGGTCAAAAAATACCTCATTTTCATTTTTTAAATCTATTGTTTTCGTTGCAAAAAAAAGGGAAAAAAGCAATTTAATTCTTAAGCTTTAGTTGGGGCATAGCTTAAAGTTTCAGGATTTGGATTCTTAAAGTAGGACAAAATACCAATCGTTCTGAAAAAGGAAATTCGTCCTGAACATTAACAGAGAAACATGGCAAAACACCAGTCGATCCGAAATAAAAATCCGGGAGTCAAAACCATCTGGGAGTCAAAACATGCTATTCGTCCCTTTTCCTGATTCTCAAATTGAACATCTTGTTTTTGGAGTCCAAAAATGAAAATAATGATTGATGTGAAACACCAACCTGCTGCAATTTCCACCGCTGATAATAGATCACCGCCGCTGGTTTATGTGATAAGATGAAGGAGAAAATTAGAAATCGCAACAAGAAGATGAAGGAGAAGAGTAAAAATCGCAATGAATGAAAGGGAACAATCCGCCATGAATGAAATATTGCCTTAGTGTTTGCCTAGGAGAAGCAAGAAGTTGCCGCTGGCAATGGAGAAGATCATGTCGACCAGCAAAACCCTCGGCTTTTGGATTCGAAGGGCATTAATGGTATTATAAAAATTTATTGGGATAGTTTTGGTATAAAAATGAAATAAGTGCTTATTGTTTAAGTACTTAAAAAAAAATTGGAAATTTGGGCTTAAAAAATTAATACTTAATTTGGGCTTATTTCTCAAACTCCAATAAGTGCATTAACAATATATGTTAAAGCCTGAGATCATGCCTAGCCCGACCATCGGGCATAGGTTTTGAGCTCAAACCTAATCCTTATATAAATCCCGAAGCCTAAGTTTGACCAAAAAATTGGAAAACAATTTTTTTCTTTTTTTTTTTCATTAAAAAGTAGTTTCATTTATATTAAAAGACATTGAAACCTAAAAAATAATGAAAGATCTCACTATCAAGGATTAAAGTGTCAGTATCGGGTATCGTATCAAATGACTCAGATACGGATACGTTTTGGAAGACACATGAATACGGACGAAAAATATAAAGACACTTGGATACGCTAGAAAAATGAATATTAATTCCATAGATATATACTAACAATAGGTATAATGTCAAAATAGATACAAATAATGTATAAATATATAAGAATTGTACATTTTGGCGGTATATATGAAGAAATATATTACGATTAATATAGCAGGATGTGTACATATCATACAATTTTATTGATATGCGTTAATCAATATTTCAAAAAACATATTATATAGATTTTTACAAATTAATACACGCACAAAGCCATTATTATCTTATTTTATATTAAAGTCCAAGGCACAAAACATACACAACTATTATATTTCAATTATTATATCATTTTTCTATTTTACTACTTATAACTTTTAACATTGACAAAAATGTTAACTAAAAATTAATTCTCAAAATTTTGGTAACCAATATTTTAATTTTTGTAAACAATAAATATGTTATTATAAAATGAAAATCAAAATAAATTGATAATTTATCAAAATATATAATCCTAACTTAAAATATATCGAATCTATTTAAATTTCAAAGATATATATTATATGAAAATTAACAAATTTTAATTATTACAATAGTTAGTTCATTATTAATATTTTTATTTTTATAAATTTCTAAAATAAAAAAATATTTTTTTAATATAAATATAGATTAGTGGATTTGATAGGTTAGATTTATATT